CAGAAGATTCTAGTAAACCCAGTATCCATCCCATCTTTTCTGTGTTACTTGTAATATTTGTCAATGCTGCAAGGAAACTGTACTGAAAACCATGTATATAAATGCAGGCTAATTTCGCTTGCTTACAGTCTGTCAGCATTGCTTCTCATTTTATTTTCTTTAAGTACTACCTCAGAATACCACTTGTGTGATCTGCTGAGGACAGTATCTGTAATATGCCTTTCCACATACAGTGTTTCCAGATGATAATTACAAAGATTACAGATTTAGACAAAACTCAGAAATACATTTACATAAATCAAAGTAACAGATATTATCAAAATTAAATTAGGGCTGAGCCAATAAATCTAAAAATCTAAAGTAAGAAATTAAAAAACCTAATGGAGACCTTTAAGTTCCTGAGATTTTTCTCCGTCTCAAACTCTCTTTCCCCTTCACAAAGGACACAGAAAGAGCAATTATATTTAGCCACACAACATAGCAATTTCACTAATATTGTCTGAAAACATACATATAATTCCACTTTTCTTAAAATATATTTTTCCTATATCTCTTCCAGGTGAGTAGTTCCTGGTGATGCATAGCAAGATTCTACTTGTGTTTATAAAAGCTTTTTAATTTACATGAAAATGATAACCACAATGTTCCACCTTTTACTGATAAAGCTAATTTTCCGATAAAAGGTTGTCTAGCTAATCAGCTTCCAGAGAGACTTGATGAGCTGACTGGCCTCCAGTTAATAAAGCAGATGGCCCAGCCCTAAACTAGTTCTATTTCTAAAATAAATAGTGTTGAAAATCTTCCTTTTCTAAATGCTTTGTTGGTTTCCTGTTATGCTCACACACACGTTTCCGGGTTAGTTACAACTTCGCCATTTTTTTCAGGCTCATCTTTCAGAAACTGCTCCACTTCAATAGAGTCTACCTTGGCGTCTTCAGGAGTTTTGTCTTCAGATTTGCTTAATTCCTCTCTTTCTGCTGCTTCTTCTTTTGTATGTGGTTCTTCTGATTTTTTCTTAATGCAGAAGAAATTTCCCAAGGCTAATACAAGTGCTGAGGTGGTAACTTCAATTCCAGCAATAATAAAAACAAACATGTACCTCCCTGTTGCATCCAAGAGTTTTCCTGAAAAAAATACAACATTCCAGGTAATTAATATGTTATTATCTTGCAATGAAATTTTTTTCTGCCTTTTTTTAACATTTAAATGGCTCCTGTCTAGAAGCACCATGACTATCTAACCAAGTTTTTTTTTGAAATAGCATTTTAGTAAGTTTATAACAAAATATTTCTCAATTATTTCAGTTCAGTTTAATTCCAGTGCAATTCAACTGCAGTAAAACCAGCCTAGCCTTCATATGCAGGAGACAAGTGCCATGTATGTCAGATCAAAATGTGTGCATCCATGGCAAAGATCTGTGTTATCGGTGTCCTCTTGCTCCCAGTCTCATTTCCTTTCCTACGTGGGCATTTGCTTAAGATGCAGATCTTATTTAATCGTCAGTCTGGAGTAACTGACTGATTCTGGTGCTTTAGTCAAGTTAAATTTTCACAGGACTTGGTGAAAGAACAGGAGGGAGGATGTGAAGGAAGTGCCTCTCCAAACCTGAAGATCAGAGGAATCTAGTACATAGTACTGGTTTTTTTCCATGAAGGGTTCTGTCACAATAAAGATACTTGATGCTTTTTAGTGTCTGGTACAAACAGTACACGTTTTATGGCAGTGAACTGGTGGGTTTTGGATGGGGTTTTCAGTTCAGGGTCTGTAAAATTTATGTTCTTCAATTAGTAATTAATTTGCATTTTTGAATTCAAATTAATGAATTTGAATATTTTGTAATGTCTCCTTATTCTTGGGTTGTGAGACATGTGCAACAGAAGCAGTCTACCTTCCCTAAAACAGTAGTTTTACAGTCCTCCTTGTAGGATATTTTTCTGTCCTTCTGACGTTTTCTTTCCTCCTCCAAATCTACCATGGGTATAGAGAATCTATCCTAGTACTTCCCAAAGTAAATTGACAGGTTTCATATTCTGAATCCCAACTCCAAAGAGGTCTGAAGTTCACAAAAGTTATTCATTGTGTGTGTAAAGCTCATCTCATACAATCCTAGCCGTCCACTAAGAGGGCCGTGGAGAAAGAGCAGCATCTCCCGATGGCAGTTCAACCAATCCTGAAATAGATCCAAGAAGGAAAAGCTTCATCTGACCTCGTCTTGGACTATTTCAGATTATAACTGCAAAATCACTGAAGCATGTGCAACACTAGCACAATATGCACCTCTCGAGTGGCTCATGCTGTCTTTTTCTCTGGTCCCTTATAATACAATTTGTGTAAATAGATGCAAGGCAAATTATTTTGAATTGTGAACTAAATGGATTACTTACCTGCTGATGGTGGACCAATTAGAACAGCCATAGCTTCTGCCAGGAGCACTAAACCAATAGCACTCGAAAACTTCTGAGTACCAACAATAGCCATGAGAACTTCAAACTGGAGAGCACCTACCATTCCATAAGAAATGCCAAAGAAAATGCAGAAGACCACTAGGCCACCATAATCAACAGACATAGAACCCATGAGATCTGTAAAGCCATTGAAAATCATAGCAAAACTGAAGAGGTAGACACAGCGTGGTCTAACCCATTTAAGACCAGCTACCATTCCACAAATAGGACGAGCAAAGATATCGATGAATCCCAGAATAGTCAGAAGAAAAGCTGCTTTGGTGTCTTGATACCCTAAATCCTTGGCATAACTCACAACAAAAACTGGGGGAACAAAGAGGCCAAGCACCATGATAGATGCTGCTAGCGTGTAGATTACAAAGCCACCATCTTTAAACACACTGAAATCTAGAAGTTTTTTCTTCACTTTCTTCTCAGATGGTTCTTTGGTAGCTTCAGACTTTTTGGGTGGCTCCAAAGGTCTCATTAATGCTCCACATACACAGCAGTTGAGCAGCATCCCACCCAGTATAAGGAATCCGCCTCTCCAGCCATACTCGTGTTGTAGTATCTGCCCCAACGGTGAGAGAGCACAAAGAAACACTGGACTCCCAGCAGCAGATAGCCCATTAGCTAAGGGCCGGCGTTTGTCAAAGTAGCGGTTTAACATGATGAGCGAAGGCTGAAAGTTTAGTGCCAGACCCAAGCCTGTAACAGAGGTACATAACACTTGATACTGGCCTACAATATCAGTATTAAAAAAATTCTAATTACAGTTTTTCTGATTCATGACTTAGGAGAAAAAGAGTTTTATTTCAAATGGACAAAAGAATTCTAAGATAACATTTGTTAGAAAAAGCATTCCACCTCCATAATATTCTTGTACTCTATAGTTACACTCCACCGATTACAGCATTTCTGGTATGTTAAGCATACCAGAAAAATTAACATTCATTAAAAAATAAATGAGAGCTTAATTCCAGATTTATCTGCCATCTTTATAAGAGCCCATCTGGATGGTCCAGATGATTTAGATATTTGTCACTTACACAAAACTTCAACCTAAAGCTAAGACATTAGCTAACTCATTTTCAACCATGCATGCTACTTACCAGTAATCACACCTGCAGTTAGATAGACCTGAAGGATGCTCGTGCAGAAGGAGGCTATCACCATCCCCATTGAGGCAAAAAGGCCACCCACCAGCATGACAGGGCGACAGCCAAAGCGATTGACGCATACACTACAGAGTGGACCTAGGCAAGAAGAGCAAGTTACAGTTGCTAAGGTAAACTAATTTTTGCAATTGATTTTATGTCAGTTTACATTTCTTCTTTGGTGGACTTGGCAGGGTTAGGTTTATGGTTGGACTCGATGATCTTAAAGGTCTTTTCCAACCGAAATTATTCTATGATTCTTTCCGTGCTCTGTCCATACTGTCAGGCCAATCCAGAAGAGTGTTCTTTCCTCTATAGTCAAATACTTAAGTCTTTTTCATCTTCAGAGTGCCATGCAATTTTTTTTTTCATCATCTTTAATAGCTACTGAGTTACAGAAATGTAATTTTATATGCAAGCTGGATGTGCTTAAATAACTGTTGTATTTCTGTGACTAGTAGTAATTCCTCTTTGGATGCCTCACTTGTACACAAGTAACCATGTGCAATTACGATTCACGCTGTAAATGGCTGTATGATTTACAAACATCATTGCATGACAAACACTGTTTCAAAAACAGAAAACTACCTACCTGTTCCATAAAGCATGGCCAACAGAATGGAGGAAATCCATGCAGTGTCACTATATCCAATGCCAAATTCCCGGATAAGTTCTTTAAAGAAGACACTCACTGCCTTAGGAAAGGCATAGGAGAATCCTGTGATGATAAAACAGCCAAAAAGGACAGCCCAGCCCCAGCCTCCATCAGGGGCTTTAACACCAGATGGACCATCATCAGCCACTACAGCTCCCATGACGAAGCTCAAGAGTGTTGCCTAAGAAACAGAAAGCAATTACAGTCTACAGATATTGGGACAATTATCTCACCAAAGTAATTTAACCAAAATAGGTGGAAATTGCACTACAGTTACAAGTTTAAATAAGATACAGGACTATTTTAAATACTTTAAGATGCAGTGCAATTTTAACTATTCCTTATTCAGGTTTAGTCCTTACAAAGCTTGCAAAAAATACATAAAAATGAGATGTACACAGTTAAGTTTTAAATTAACATCCCCTCGCAGGTCTCTCAAAGTCAAAACTGGATTTCAACCAAATCACCATTTCACAGATAAACTGAAGCCATAACAGCAGTTCAGGGGTGTATTTAACCTTCACAAATACATAATAACTACTGCATTAAAGTCTGCGGGATTTTTGTTAGAAGACCTTGTTAAATGAAGCTCCTGGACTATTCACTCCTGGTGCATCACAAATATTCTGTGCAACAGTGGACGAATCACCTAGGCTTTCTGTTCCCTACTGAGGACAGCAATACAGCCGTGATGGACCAGTACCTTGAAAAGATGGATCTCTTCAAGCTTCTGATCAGCTATCAATCAGTTTTCATACATCAAATAAGTACCTAAGCTAAACTGCAATGACAGTTTGCACGGACGGGTTTTGTGGATGACAGGAGCTAGTAACTGCAGCAATGCTCAGTAACACTGTCTGCCTGAAGCAAATACTTTCTGTTGTTGTTATTACATTATCAGTAATTTTTTAATATATTTTATTTGATAAATCTTGTCTTTCATATCCTCTGTGTGTAGCCACAAGCACTTTTGCATCTAAACAATAAAACCTTTTCTCATTAGAATGTTATGTAATAGACAGCAATGCTGCAAAGAGAGAGATGCAGCAGGAAAAAAAGGAAGACACTGAAAAGGCAAATAAAGTGTCCCTGTATTTGAAGAGTGCAGGAAAGTACCGCATCACAGTGATTAGGTTTTTGTAGGGTCTGCACATTATAGAAATCTTGAAAATGTTCAAGTAAGCTTCAAACAAGTTATACATTGAATCTTACTGTACAAAACCTGACCATTTCTTTAAAATGCAATTGATTACTCCTGTTGGGTCAATGTTTCTCTATGATAGTACCTAAAAGGAGGGTAAGCACAGTTGCACATCAGAGATGGTCATCACTAAGGAATACTTCTGCTTTCAGAAGTATAGGTTTGCATAGCAATTGTTGTGCATTAGGAATTATGTAGTTCTCACAGCTCCATTTCAGGAACAGACTGTATGGCACAACAATCTAGTTAATGCAGACTTCCCGAGACACCTGAGCAGCGATGGCATGATTGCTCATAGGCCTGTATGAACGTACTTACTATGGCATTTAGACCAGCACTCCCACTTCTTGGAAGAAACAACTTTATATGCATGATGCAGAAATAAACCTGGCCGTGACTATAGCTGTTCTGTTACCCTGGGCTGTACATGAAGGACAGTAAGCCTCATACTACGGGCTTCACCTCTTGTTTTCTGGAAATCAAAATTAAAAACAGAAAACAATTTGTCTTAAGTCAATTCAACTAGAGTCTAACATGGTTAAGACGTGAAACAGAATACCTCAATAAAACTAGACATCTAAGTGTCTGCTACTACAGATGGCTGATTCACTGATTGCTGTAAGAGTATGTAAAAACCCATAGCTTGTTAGACTGGGGAATTTCTGCACCAGGCTTTGGGCCGCTAAATGAAAGTCCTATGATGCATCTCTGCCAACCCTCTTGACTCTGGGATCTGTCACCCCTTCAAAACTGTTTTTCACAGTAACTTCTGTATGATACAAGGTATAAAGCATTCTGAAAAGGACTGGTTTGGTGTTTTTTTTAAGCAATAACCAGTCATGACAGAGCAGTTGCACAAAGTGTAATCCCTCATGGCACTGGTAGCTCTGTAATATTAACGGTAAAAGGGAAAATACTGATTCAAGTAGCTCAGCTCAAGTGTACAAAGAACAGGAGTAAAATGTAAAACTGAAGGAGGCCAGGGGGCCGGAGGAATCGTCTCTCTCACTACGTCCAAACTGTCAGATAGAACCTTTAATTTGGAGTGAATGTTTAAAATGATGGGGGAGGGTTGTGTAATTTTTATTCTTTTGTAGTAATCATCAAGTGGCAACACAAAGTCAGTAATAATACATGAGCAAGTTTTGTTGAAAAATAGCAATTGGCAGTTGTCTCCAAACTGCTTACACGGTGCTGGATAGGAATATTCAGCCCTAGGATGAGATGGCTCACGGCATTCACCTCTGTGCTTCTTCCTGCACGCCGGCGGGACCAGTGGGTCTATAGCAAAGCTGTTCTAAGGGCAATCTCTGGAGACATACAGTGCTGGACCCTGCCGGTAAACGGTATTCGAGCCGTCTCAAGTGGCAGGTGGCTTTTGAGACGAATCGCCGTTAAAAGCTACTTGGCAGCGCGCCTGTTCCAGAAAAGCACCGTCCCGGCTCCCCCGCGTTTCTCC